CGTGATGCTCAAAACAAGCCACTGGTTCTACCTCTATGAACAAGGAGGTCTGGTCAGTGAGGACGAGTTAACAGCTAAAAGCAACCTGACTTCTGTAGACTATTCCCACAAAAGTCAAACAAGACTTTGATACTAATAGATATTGGTTTCTCGGCCAAAATTAGACAATCCTACCTTAATTTCTCTTTCTTTCTTTCTCCCTTCACCTTTCCTGCTCTCCTTCCCCTCACCACTTAGTGCTGGAATTAAACCCAGAGCCTCATCTTAATTCTCAATATAACTTTGCCATTGTATTTGGTTACCGTGCTTTCTACACTCTATGCAGAATCTAAGATCTGTACCTGGCAGATAAGCGTGCCTTATTTGTAACCACTGCAACTAACTAGACAGTCATCTAGCATATCACCAAAAGGAATAGCTTGCAATACGTTTTTTTCAAGCTGGAAGATACAGAACTAAATATGCAATGTCATATTCCAAAAGAGAAAAAAATCTCCCCAGCAAAGCCCCCCCAAAATGTCACTGCTAGCACAGGGTCACCAGAGCATCATGTCATAACCTTCCTGAAGAGGGACATTCAAGCACACCCCAGCGGCATTTCCAGATAATCAGAGGCACCAGAGGAATCAATGTGGACACATGGGTGTTTCCAGGTGGTTGAAAATGCAAAGAATTCAGTGCTTCTGCAATTTTCCCTATTAATCAGGTCAGGCATTTGACACTTGAGGTGGCAAAAAATTGTTTTAATGGCAACATCCACTTTTCTGCCTTGCCAATTACCCCAGCCATGGCATTCCTGTGTTCACACGGGCCACAGCTGCTTAATCTCAGCAGCCCTGGGCTCCACCTGTGAATCAGACCAGCCTAATCACACTAACAGATGGCAGAGGCCAAGTAGCCAGCTAAGAACTGCTATCACTTTAAATAGCATCTAATGTTTCACAGGCACCAAACAGAGGCACCTCCCGACAGCAGTATCTCCCTGGTACAGCTAACACTAGCCCTTAATCACTGCAGAGTACTCATTTCGGGACAGAGTTGGTGTCATTCGAGAGCTAATTACAAAAAGCCCTGCTTGCAAGGTGAAAGCGTGGCAAATGCAGTACTGGCTGGCAATCATAACACGCGGCGCTCTGCAGCCTGGCCCTTCTACATGGCACAGGCCAGTCAGGCCGGTGGCCACCACGCAAACCCACAGTGCACGGCAGACCAGCCTTCTGAGTCAGCAGAGAGCAATGCCCTCCCCTAGGCCTGGCAGATACATAACCTATACCTGCCACGTGCATTCCATCACTTATCGTGGGTTCTCCTCGATGTGTCCCCAGGCAGGGCACGTGACCACCAGGACAGCCAAACCAAGGGCAATGGCACCCACACACATCATTTAAGAGCTATAAACAACTATGCAAACATTCTCATTCTGCCCCCAGCATGACCCTGGGACACCCATAGGCAATGGGCCTGACTCAAAGCTCTGCCTTTGGTCACTGAGTCACAGTTTTCAGAGTAACTGCTCTGCCCACCTCCCAGGAGGTGTGGACTGAGCCAGCAGTCACCGCGGAACCTGTCAGAACAGGCCCGCAACTTCTCTGCCTCCAGCTTCGTGCCAGAGCCAAAGAAGTAAAGACACAAGTGACATGCTCCACCATACCAGTGTTTAATTAATATCAATAATAGTAGCCCCTTCGGAAGGCTGGCTCAAATCATAGAAGACCCATTCACTCACCTCATCACCCGCTGTTTTATGGACATGACAGCTAATGGTAAATTCCCATTCAGGGAGGCTCTTCCTGTGCGTGTCCTCGAGCCAGTGGTCCTCACACTTTAGTTACTCCTGGTGTCTGCTCAGTGGGTCTGAGAATCATAGTTTCTAACAAGTTGCCAGGTGGTGCTGATGCAGCCCACCCAGAGGCAGCACTTTGCAAAGCTCCACTCCAAGCTTCCTCTTGTCACAAAGTAAAAGCTACCTAAATCAAAATAGTTCCATTTTTGTCCAGGCTACTAAGAGACTCGAATAGATCTGTCTCTAACACATTTATTCCTGGTAACTAGTAACATCTACCTTGTCCTCTAAGCAATAATAATGAAAATGGAGACAGGTGATTAAGAGATGGAGCTAGGAAGGTGGGGGGGGGGCGATAAAGAATCGGGATGTGTTAAATGCATGTACCAACTCCCTAAGATGTAAACTTCATGCATACCAATGTGCACTAATATTTACCTAAAAAAACGCCCTGGAACTAAACAATTTTTTTTTCCACAAATGATGCAGAAGCAACTGCAAATATCCACAGATTAAAAAAAAAAATCTACACATAGAACCCACAAATATTAACTTAAAATTGATCACCATTATGATCTAATGTAAAGCAAAAAACTATAAAACTCCCAAGTCAGCACAGAGGTGACTTTGGATTTGAAGTCTTTTCGGATGTAATACCAATGGCACAGCCCATGAAAAAAGTGATAATCCGGACTTGATATAAATTAAAAATTTTGCTCTGTGGGAGACACTGGCAAAAAAAAGACAAACCACAGACCAGAGGAAATATTTTCCAAAAACAAAGGACTGTATCCAAAATATACAAAGAACTCTTACAATTCAATAATAAGAACACAACCCACTTAAAAAAGGAGCCAAAGGCCTTAACAGACAATTCACCAAAGAAGACATGCAGCATGCCTCCCTGTTAATGCAATCAAGCAGATAAAAAGATTGTTTCACATCATCCATCAGGAGGGAAATGCAAATTAAGACAAGGAGATACCACTACACACCTACTACAATGGCCAAACTCCAGAACACTGACAACACCAAACACTGGTGAGGATAAGGAGCCATAAATACTTACTCACTGCTGGCGGGAATGCAAAATTATACACTTTGGAAAGCAGGTTGATGGCTCCCTACAAATCTGAACATACTCTTACCTTATCACTAAATCATCATACTCCTTGGAATGTACCCAGAAGAGTTCAAAATTAACACCAGAACAAAAACCTGTACAGAGATGTTTGTAGCAGCTTTATTCATAATTACTAAAACTTAAAAACAACCAAGGAGTCCTTTAAAGTAGGTACACTGCGGTATGTACCAATAATGGAATGGTCCTGAGTACTAAAAAGAAATAAATTTTCATGAAAGCCCTGGAGGAAACTTAAATACATACTTCTAAATAGAAAAAGCCAAGCTGAAAAGGCAACATACTATATGATTCCAAGTATCTGACATTGTAGAAGGCAAAACTCTGGAGACAGTAAAAAGATCAGTGGTTGCCAAGGTTTGGAAGGGAGGAAGACATGAATAAGTAGAACACAGGGGATCCACAGGGCAGTGGAAACTGCTCTGTACACTACTACAATGGTAGCCTCAGGTCATTACACATTTGCCCAAACCCACAGCAAATACGAACCCAGCACAAATGATAAGCTTGGGTGATTACAATGTGTGAACGTAGGTTCATCAACTGTAGCAGATACACCACAGCCTGGTGAGGACACTGATAGCGGGAGAGGCTATCCATGTGCGAGAGCAAGAGGTTATGGGAAATCTCTGTACCTCCACCTTAATTTTGCTATAAACTTCAGACTGATTTGAAAAAGTCTATTTTAAAAACCCTGTGCCTATTTTAATAACTAATGTAGGCCTTGTTTAAATGTACTGATTCACAAGTACAAATCTCCTTTTGAGAAGTGTAGAATACGCCACATGCGCACAGGACCCCAGTGACCAATGTGCCATTCCTGTGGGAAAATTCCAGTCACGTCATTGGTGAATGCAACTACAGCTATATTTCATTTTCCTTAAGGAGCAAGCATTCATAAGCACTCTTCTCACTACTGTACAAATATTAACTCATTTAATCCTAACAAGCCAGAAATATTATTATTATTCCTATTTTACAGTTTAAGAAACAAAAATGCAAAAAGAAAGGTAAAAGGGGGGAGGGAGAAAGAAGGAAAAAGAAAAACACGAGAACAGAAGGATAAAGTGGAAACAAAGCTTTGTAAATAAAGAGGGGAAGAGGGGTTGAAGGAAGGGGAGGAGAATGGGAAAAAAAGACATACCAAGATATATCATGTACAGGTACAAAGTCACTATGATGAATGTCATTGATATGTATACCTAAATTGTACCAATAAATTTAATAATAATAATAAAAAAGAAACAGAAGTCAAATAAGCAACTGAGAGGAGGTAAAGTAGGACGCAAACCCAGGCTGAAAAGGGGCCAGCTCCAAGAGGCCAGCCACTTTCTTACCCACTAAGGGAACAACCTCCCAAGTGTTAGTGCTCAGTGTTAACCGAGTACTAGTAGTACTCAGTGCTCAGGGTTAACTATTAACTTAAGATAAACAAACAACCCTTAGATCCCTTCCCCATTTCTGCCAACAAGGTAAGGAATACTGTCCTTATTTCTGCTTACATGAGGCACACGTTTCAGAAGGTTGGGTTTCCTCAGCCTCGGCTGACATTTTAGACAAGATAATTTTCTGTCACAAGAGCTAAGCTGTGCATTGTAAGATACTGTAGCCTTGGTCTCTGCCTGTGAGCTTTCCCCGGTACCCTCCCCGAATGTGACAACCAGATATTGACAAATGTTCTACAGCAGCAGGGATAGGCAATCAACCAGGGTCAAGAACCACTGGGTTCAGCCCAGCAAAATCAATGGTTATGAAGAAACCCAGGACGGTCCATGGTCCTATTAGTTTTATGTCTCCAAACAGTGAAAAACTAAAGGGAAAGAGGAAAACCAAGGAAAGAAAAGCAGTAATTGGTTTGAACAGAGTGACACAAGAAGAAAAGACGAGCAGTGGAAAAGGATGGACAGCAGCACTGGTTTATTCATCAGTTTGAGAGTTGGGACAGTAGAAACAGCAGGGAACAGGAAGGGCCACGGGACATAACATGGCGCCGAAGAGCCGACAGGAAGACAGGTGACAGCCAGGACTCCCCTCTGCTCCTCTCTCGGGGACCTTCAGAGGCGTGCAGTTACTTACTCTTGTTGTTACTGTTCTCACTGATAAAATCTTCAGAGCCATCTGTGTCGTCTTCATCATCTCCGGACGAGATGGCATCTGTGTACAGAAGAACATATCCATGGATGTATTTTTGCAAAGTCAAAGTTTGCAATTATCTACAACTACGCCAGCCTTTCTCTACAGTGAATGCAACAACCCAGGAACCCACAAGGGAAGTCTCAGACCATGTTTAGCTAAGATGGTTTTAATGGCTTAAAAAGTGTCTCTCCACAATGACAGTTGGTCTCTATTATGATTCTCAATGTTTTCTGCTTTCACGTTATTTAAACATGCTATAAAATTGGATATACTGGAACTGGATTTTAAGCTTCAAACAAATTCAAGTCTCCAACAAATTTACTGACTGTGTAATAGTCAAAAAAAATTTTTTCCAACAAAACTTTTCAGTGCTTAGATCTCCTTCAAGAAAGAATTAGTCCTTAACAAGACCTAGTCCCTCTGTGGCCCTTCTGATAGTTACCTAGTGACCTGAAAGCAGAACTTTAAACTCCTCACTAAGAGGGTCTGTTTGGCCCCTCTCACTGCATGGGTGGGAAGCTGAGGAGAGAAACTCAAATTTCAATAAAGGAATCGGGAATCTGGAGCTTTCAAATTTCAATCCTATATTCTAAATGCCAAGGCTATTGGTGACGTGGGAGGGAAAAATGACTCTGATTTTACATAAAAAGTGCTCTGTCTTAAAAAGACAGTGTTACTTTGCACAAGAGATCTTGGTCATTTGTAATGATCAGCTTCGCTGGTGCACCAGATTCCACAGAAGAATTTCAAAAGTATGTCAGGATCAGGTAGGTGTGTAGTACACATACACAGTCCCAGCTAGTTGGGAGGCTGAGACAGGAGGATCACTTGCACCCAGGAGTTCGGGACCCATGTAGCAACACAGCAACACCCCATTTTAAAAGTAATTAATTAAAAATAAAAAAGATCAGTAACAAACTCTGAGGTTATGTGTCTCACAGCCAAGTAGCACATCTCACTATGATTCCACTTGGCTGAAAAATTCTACCCAGAAAATAACTACAGAGAAGAGAGAGCATAACACTCGCAGGCCAACTCACCTGTGATATTCACCATGAAGTACCGAGTCTCACTGTCTATAGTCCTAGAGGCAGTACAAGCATAGAGGCCGGAGTCTCTAGGTGTGGCGCCTTTTATCTGCAAGTATTCCCCAATAAGCACTGTCCTATTGTTGGGCCCCAAGTGTACCCCATCCTTAGTCCAACTGATCAGGGCGGCATCTTTCAACAGGCAGCGCAATTCTAGCGACTCCCCTGGCGCAGCCACGTAAACTTCTGGTTGAGAGATTTGGTATTTGGTTGGTGGCTCTGCAGAAAGGTGGGAGAGAGAAGATAGAGACAGATGGAAAGGAGGGAGGAGAGAATGTCCAACAAAGGTCAGTGGAGGCCCATTCATTCCCAGACGAAGCTGTTCTAGTTTTGCAAATGGCCCCGGGAGGCATCTATCTCTCTCTGCACCCAGGACGCCAGGACACAGCCCTCACTTAGAGGGTAGATTTGAGCATCACAACAGCCACCAGAGGAAGCACCCTCAAAAGCTGCCCTGCCTTGGTGTCCACATAGTGTATTGCTTTAAAATCAAACTGAAACCCAGTATGGAAGGCCATTCCACAAGCAAATATTTAGTCAATTGCCAAGCCAAAGCCTTCTTGCACTGTAACACTTGGGAACAGTCAGTCTTACCAATTTGTTCATTCATCGTGAATGTGTGTGTGTGCCTCACACACCCTTACTTATCTATCTGTGCGCTTGGTCTTTTTTCACAAAGTCAAGTTGCTTAAAATGAAATGTCTCGAATACAAGGGAATAGACGGGATCCTTCCACCAACTGTTGCTCTCAGTTCCCCTGAGCACTCAGGGTTAGATCAGTGTTGTGCTGGTTGGGAGACTTAATTCTGTGGTGGGTGAGCTGGAACATGCTGTTTTCTTTTTTCTTTCAAAAAGCTTAAAAAGCGTCTCTCCTAAAATGATAAAATCCTAGAGGCCCTAACATCAAAAAGCAAAAGACAGCAAAATGTCATGACAGCTGAGAAGCAGTCTCCACTCTGTGCAAACAAATCTTGTAAGACACTGAAGGCTATACAACCCTCACTCTGCATTACAGAGACAATGCCACCCTGCCCATCAAGCTACCACACACTTCCAGAAAGCCTCAGCCTCCTCTGAATCCTGCGCCTTTCTCACCTTTACACTTCCTTCATCTCTTTATTGCTGAAACTGACTTATCTCTGAGGCTCAAATCCAGCAATGCCATCTATGACAAGTGGCCCAGCATCAGTCACCTGGCCAGAAGTGACTGATCTCAGCCTACATTTGCATGCTTCCCCAGCTCTAGGATGTACATATTTCTTAAGAGTGTGTCCTGTTTCTCCAAGGAGATACCAAGTTCCCAGAACAAGCACTCAGGTCTTGTGGGTCTCTGTGTCCCCCTACCTCTATTCCAGGGCATATTCAGCACACACAGGGAAGGTGGCCACATTAAACATCATTACAGTGCCCAAATATGCAGGGCAGATTGCGACCCAAGAAGATCCAACCTTCACATCTGCTCCAAAACGAGGTGGAAAGAGGCCACTGGCCTTTAAGAAGAACAGCAGAGCTGCTGATTAGGGTGTCCACGATGGTCTGTGAAACATGCTTTCATCCCCATAGGGAAAGCTGTGAATGGTACACGCAGTCTCAGGCCCAGAAAACAAAGCTGCCTTCCCAGCACTGGGCAGGCTCCAAATCTGGGCAGTATCACAAGGCAATTGTTTTGCCCAGAGCCCACTCAAAGGACAAACCACCCATATGATTCAAATAAAGTCAGTAAATGTTCCAGTCCCGCTATTTAAGAAGCATCTGGCCCAAGAAATCCCACCCCTCACCACCAGCCAATACAGGGTCCCAGGACACCCAAAGGGGGTCCCTCCAAAGACACATAAGCCAAGAGCTCAGATGCGAAGCAATACATGAGCACAAAGAGATAACCACACAAAAGAAAACAGAAATCTGACTGAACACAGACAAATACATCCCCAAAACAAGGACTGCAAGAAAGCCCCAACTGGCAGGGAGGTTACGTTTCAACTATTTATTGAACTCCTACCACAGGTAAACCTTTGCACTGGATACTCAGAAATCAACAGGAGATAAGACAAAGTCCTTGCCCTTGTGGAGCTGCCATTGTGGTGGGGGTGACTGACAAGACGTAGGAAATCTACAAAAAATATAAAATGTATGAGGGGTCTTAAGTAGGAGGAAAAAGCAAACAGCAGGACAGAGGCCCACCCAGAAGGGGTGGGCGAGCGCTTAGGCTACAGCAGGAGTTGGCAAACCGTGGCTCGGGGGCCAAAGCAGCCCTGGTTTGCTTTGGTAAACACAGTTTTCTTGGAGCACGGCCATCCTCATTCACTTGTGTATTGTCTGGGGCTGCTTTTGTGTTGTAAGGGCAGAGTTGAGTAGTTGCAACAGAGACCCTGTGGCCTGCAAGGACAAAAACATTTACAGTCTTGCCTTTAAGAAAGCAAACGTAGATGGAGAGGAAAGAGAATTCAGTTTGGCCCCCATGGTATGAGATAATCACAGATGGCTCTTCTCCAAAGGACAACCATTTGGGCTAAGAAGCGAAGGACAAAGCGAAGTTAGAAAAATACTGAGAACATGGCTGAACACTTTCAGGTCAGGTCTCCCAAGGCAGTTTACAGCAGGAGGCAGTCGAATTAAGTGACTAACAGAAACAGGTTGATGGGCTGGGGATTTAGCTCAGTGGCACAGCGCCTGCCTAGCAAGCGCAAGGTTGTGAGTTTGATTCCCGCTACTGGAAAAAAAAAAAAAAAAGAAACAGGTTGAACTCTGGATCCTAAAAAGAAGAGAGAAAGGAAGAGAAATATAGATGGAGAGGAAAGAGAATTCAGTTTGGCCCCAAACCGCAGACCTTCTGCCAGTCCACTCCCAGCATCCGAGAGTCACTCATTCATACAATGTCATGACTGATGGAGCCCCCAAAGGCTATTCAGTCCAATCTCTTCTTCAGCTGCATAAAGCAAGGATCTATGGGGGTCCCACGTCTTCAATAATTACTGGGACAGCACCCACACTGTTAGGAGGAATTTACACTGGATCATCCTTGGTCACAAATAATCAACATTTTTTAGGACAACATCACATGATCAACAAGTCATCAAGAATGTTCTGGAATTTGCTTTCCTCTGCCAAACTGATCATCAAGGATTACAGAGCAAGGAAGCAGCTGGACTGAAGCAGCAACGCTTCCTTCCCTGAGAGGGGAGATGACTGGAATCCTCCTAGCCCATCTGCTTCGGCCCTGCCCCTAAGGTAAACAGAAGCCATGTCCCTATACCCGTGGTGGGAACTTTTTAGACCTTTCAATGATACAAACTGCCCACTGTGGCACACATGCCCGTAGGTTTGCCACCACTGTCCTGCACCATGTAGCAGAACGGTCTTAAATTACATTAAGAAAAGAGAGAGAAAGAGGCGCAGACCAGTTGCAGCTATGATACAGAAAAATCTCTCCCATGACAAAGGTACACTAACTTCTGTTTTAAAGGTAAGTGTTTTCACTAAGAATTCCTTCCTTCATAGGAAATCAATGGAACACAAAATCCTGCAGAAATAGGGTATCTGAGCTGCTGGATCAGTGCCACCACAAATACACCACCACCTGCCTGTTGAACTAGCACGAGCACAGGACAGTAAGGAATCATGGATCGGGTCTGTGACACGTTCAGGGCTAGAAACAAATGTTTAGTAATGTGGCACTACTCTGAATGCAAGAGGGTGATGCCCCTAGTTAAAGGTCCTTTCCATCCTACCTAAACCCTCAGCTGCAGGTCCCTCAAATGGTGAAGAACAAGAATAACCAAACATTCAGGCATTATTTGTGAAGCTCCAACAAGCCAAACAATATGAACTCGATCTTCCAGCACTACCCATTCAGTTGATGATGGTCACCGTCCCTGTGACCAAAGCTGAAGGTACCGCTACAGTTAGAGGACAATCAGAGGGCATCTCAATACACAAAACACTTTTACTGATGACTTGATGAACTAAAAACAGAGCTTGTTTCCAGTGAAACCAAGTCAAAACTGTTCTCCAATTTTCCAAAGAGATGATGAGCTTCAAGGAGCATAAAATACCTTCCCCAAATACATCAGTAAAATAATAATGGTCATGCGTAAAAATCGAGGCATCCCAATTTCAAAGTCTCCAATCAGCAAAGGCTCTCTTGGCAAACTCAGAAAGCACAGGGACTCCTCCCTCCCAAGTAATCATTTCTGTTTTAAAGGTAAGTGTTTTCACTGAGAATTCCTTCCTTCCTTCAAAAGGTCCTGCTTGCAGGTAAGTAGCGTCTATAGTAAATAACGCAGCCACACATGTCCCTGCCTGACTTCAAAGTCTTGAAGTACAAGCTAGGGAGAAGGGAGAAAAGGGTGAATAAAAGCAAATGAACAGGAAACAATGGGGGAGAGGTTGAAGCATAAGGAAGGCAGGGAGGAACAACTGAAGGGTAATAAGTAGGAGAGCACAGGAGGGCACGTGACTACAGTGGGGAGGACAGAAAGCCAACCAATCCCCTCCCAGGCCACCCAGTGCCCCACTGATCTGACTTGCAGGTCCCTGATGCACACATCTGAGCTGTTTTGAGCCACATATGGGGTCCACACAGCGAGCTCTGGCTCTGTCCCATCCGGGAGACCATCTGGCTTCCCAGAGGGTGTGGCTTCTCCTCTGTGTTTTGTGGGGTTTTTGTTTTATTTATTTATTTATTTATTATTTTTGAGACAGGGTCTCACCATGTAGTTCACACTAGCCTTGAACTCACTAGGTACCCCAGGCCGACCTTAAACTCTCAGCATCCTCCTGCCTCAGCCTCTCAAGTGCTGAGATCACAGGCATGCGCCACCGCACTGGTCTCTCCTCTCTGTCTGAGCACCTCAGGCAGCTCAGAGCTGCTCCCTGCAAACATCATTCATGTACCCTGTGAATGCATCTCCAAGTCACACCTCCCATGGTCCTGGGAGGGGCCAAGACTATCTGCAAAAGAAAAGATTCCTCTACACCAGGCATGCTATATTCACCTCGCCTACCTTCCTTCCCACCCGGATCTTCTCAAACACTACGGCCGCCCCTTCCCCACCTCTGCTGAGCTTCACAGCCTGCTCTGTGCAACACGACAGCTGACATGGGCAAAGGCCACCCTAAGAACTCCACACAATCCCTTTCAAAAGCCATACTAACATTTCCTGGATTCACTGCTGCTGATGCTGCAGCACACTGTCCACCTGGCCCCCGCCCCTGCTCCT